AGGTTGAGCTGTTGTTCAGCATCTTAGCTGTAGAGGGCAGTGTCACTGGCCCTCATACATGGGATCTGAAACAGGGCCCTCTGGTATCCCAAGCCAGCTCTTAACCAACGTGCCACTCAGCCGGCCCTTGATAAAACTTCTTAATCAATGATCTATACCTGCATGGACTGACTGCTGAAAATAAAAGCTCAAAAGCCATTTGAGAAGGATGTGGCTCAAAATCCAATGATATAAAACAATGTGAAAGCCAAAATTCCTGGGTCTAAAAAGGCCCCAGAGAGCTGTCATGGTCTCCCTCACTCTCTACTTTCAGTTATGCTATTCTGTAAAAAGATTACACAACCTCATCTACCTCTTCTAGGGTTCCTTGATCTCTCCTTACCCAGCTTAGGACCACGGTCCATTGTGACAATCACTCCCTTAACCACACCCTTAAGTCCCTTACCCCACTGTCCTTTAGTCACATGTGTTTAAAAAAATGCTAACCCTGGCTAAATACAACTCTGCCCCAATTTGGTATCTGCAAATGCACAGCTGAACACACACCACGCTGATTAACCTGGCTCTAAATGGATGACCCCTAATCTCGAGTGGGCCTTTCCTGTTCCTGGTTATCCTAAGCCCACTTCCCTACTCCATTCAGTCTCCCATGCTCCCACACGACCATTTCATGCCCTTTTCTCTCTCTCCTCAAATCTCCCTCTCCTTCTCTCTCCTCATTCATAGCAGATGTCTTTGACTTCTATTTCACCAAAACAGAAGCAAACCAAAAGAAACTTTTCACATGCTCCTACCACAACACCCCCCTACCAGTTTGCTTCGATGCCTATATGCTCTGCCTTCCCTCCTGTTATTATGGAAGAACTCTGTGTTCTTATCAAAGGCCAACAACCCCTTACCTATGGATAGGATTCCATTCCTTCTTGCCTCCTCAAGGACATTGCTCAGGCAGTTTCTTCCCTCTCTACTGGATCATTCCATTAGTACACAAACAGATGCTGAAATCTTTCCCACCTTGGGAGGGGAAAAAATAACTAAACCTCAATCCCACATTCTCCTCCAGCAACCATTCCATTTATCTGTACCCGCCATTCCCTTTTACAGAAAACTCCTTAAGGGATTTCTACATTATCTCCAATTCCTCTCCTATTCCTGCATTTGTGAACCTATCCCAATTAGACTTTCACCTCCACCACTTTACTAAAACACCTCAAAAGGGTTCCATGTTGTTTGGGGGGAGAGAGGTGGAGGGGGGACAAAAAATGACTCCCATGTTGCTGAAACCATTGTCATTCTCAAGCTTCAACTTAACTGACCCAGAGGTGGCACTGGACACAAGCGATCACTCGCTCAGTCTTGGAGTTTTCCCATCACTCTCGTGGTTTCCCTCCTTCCTTCCTCACCAGAGGCTCTTTCTCAGCTGCTTCTGTTTGGCATTCTTCATCTCTCTAACCTCTAATGTAGGAGGGCCCCAGGCAGCAGACCTCTTCTCTATAGTCACTGCCTAGGTGATCTCACCCAGCATGTGGTTTTCAATATTGTTCAAATTTCTCTCTCTAGCCCAGACCTCTCCTGTGAACTTCAGAATTTGACAGCCAATCACCAATTCATTACTTACTCTTGAATATGTAACAGGCACCTCAAACTTGACTTGTCCAAAACCGAATACCTACCTTCCTCCAAACCTGCCATGGTCCTACTCACCTGCCCAGTTTATTGCAACAGCCTCATAAGTGGTCTCCTTTTGCCACCTTTGTCCTCCTGCTGCCTGTTCTCAACGTAGGAGCTTGTGATCTTTTCAAAAGGTAAATCAATGCTACTTCTCTTTTCCAACCCCTCCAGTGGCTCCCAACGAAGTGAAACCCAAAGTCTTTACAAATTCCTACGAAGTTCTCCCGTGGGAATCTAGCTTTCTGACCTCCATGTTCTGCCACTTTTCCCCTCACTCATTCTAGTCCTGCCCCAATGGCCTCTTTGCTGCCCATCGCCCGTCTCAGGACCTTGACATTTGCTGTTCTCCATGCCTGCTTAGGTTATTCCCTCACTTTCTTCAGGTCTTCGCCAAATTGTCACTTTATCAGTAAGGCCATCCCTGATCCCTAACTCCACCCCCACCCCGCAACTGGAAATATCACCCCACCCTAGTACAGCCTATCCCCCTTCTCTGCATTGTATTTCTCTAAAGGATCTACATACTATGTAGTTATATAGTTTTTTTTACTTATTTGCTTAACTGTCAAGGAGAATAGGAATTTCTTATATTTTCTATTTATTGCTGTTTCCCTAACAATAGAGTCTGACACATAAAAAGACATTCGAGGGCCGGCTGAGTGGCGCATTGGTTAAGAGCTGGCTTGGGACGCCAGAGGGCCCCAGTTCGGATCCCACATATGAGGGCCAGTGACACTGCCCTCCACAGCTAAGATGCTGAACAACAGCTCAACCTGGAGCTGGGCTGCCGTGAGTCGCCGGCGACCCCATAGGCTGCAGCCTCTGCTGCAGCGGGTTGCCATGGGCTACTGTGTGTAACCAGCAGCCAGCGTGAGTGGCCAGCAGCTGCCTTGAGTGGCTGTCCAGAAGCCGGCGACTGATCTGCCTCGCCCAGGAAGAGCGCAATGATGGTGCCAACTTGGGCCAGTGAAGCAACGTCCTCCACAACTAGACTGAAGAACAAAAGGACAGCAACTTGTCTGTTCCCCTTCCCCGAATTCCCCAGTGCCGTTCCCATCCCCCAATTCCCCAATAAAAATCTTTAAAAAAAAAAAAAAGGCATTCGATAAACGTGTTAAATAAGTGAATTCTTATTCTCTTCAATCACTGATGGAGAGCTTTGAGGAAAAGAGTGAAGAGAAAAGATAAGCTCAACTCTCAGTATGACAGGAAAAAAAAGTGCTTGCAGGCACTTACCTGCTCCCCGACTGGGAGGGTCTCGGGCTGGGGGAGGTGGCCTATTACTCTGTAAAGAAGGAGAGGCTGAGGTGGGTGGAGGAGGTGCTAGGCCTCTGACAGGCCCTGGTGTCTTCCTATGCAAAGAATTGTGTCTCTGTGGCAGCTCCGGGGCTGACTCATTAGTGGGACTGGAAGGTCCATTGGGGACCCCTGGCGGCTGGCGGTAAGGCGGCGGAGGAGGAGCCAGAGACTGGCTACTTGGTCCCGTTCTGATATTCACAGGGGAAGGTGGTGGTTTGACGGGAGGTGGAGCAGGGGGTCCCTCTCGACCAGGGTGAAGCCTCTGTCCGGGTGTGGGAGGCAAGGGTTTCTCTCTGTTGTAGGCTGGGACTTTGTTGCTGTGCATAGGCAGAGGTGTAGGGGGTGCGTTGGCACGCCGCCCAGGGGGTGGTGGAGGAGGGGCGGAGGAGCTGTGCTTCATGCCCGTACTGCTGGTGGTGTGAGGCCGAGAGAGGTCCGGTAACGATGGTCTCTGCATCCGGGGTAGTTCTGGGAGTGACGCTCGGCTGCTGTCTGTATCATCTTGAGGGCGCCCACTAGCTGCAGACACTGGAGGCCTTGGGGCAGCAGCTCGAGAACTGGGGACTTGTAGGGCTGGCTTACCCACTAGGTTCTCTACAAAAATATACCAGGCAATACTGGGTCAACAGAGCTAGAGATATGCTGTGGGTCAGTATCTCTACTTCACCCAGCCTCATTAGTGCAACCTGCACAGCAGCAAGGAAAGTATTGGTACAGGACTGGGCTTTTAATCCAGCTCAGGGCCCATTAACAAACCCTACTGATAGAAACTGAAGACTTTTTATTTAATGCCTTTGCTTTATTCTACTCTATAACTCCTCCCCTCTTTCCACTCCTCCTTCCTTCCACCTCTACCACACTCCTCAACCCCAGATGGACCATTTGGGGCCAGTCAGAAATTACACTTGGAAAATAAACCTAAGAAAGTACTTATCAGATACCTGAAACGTCCTTGGCTCCCACAGGTCGGAGCTTTGGCACTCCTCCTTGGAAGAGACCTCCCTTGGGCTGCAGGGCACCTGCTCCAGAGCCATAACCACCACTGCTTCCTTTGGGTTCTGGAAAGCATACCATCCGTTAGGGCTTTCATTTCATGTACTCCAAGCTGGTGACCAAGTCAATTCTGAGGAGAAACTCCTCCTCTATCTGGGCTCTAATTTGCAAACAAACCTATCTTGTTTTGGCCTTTCAAAAAATTTTTTAAAAAAGCTAGGCCTCTGCTCCACAGCTTCATGTGAGAATGAAACTCTGCTGTGATGAAAGAAAAAGAACAAAAGGAACAAGGAGCCAATCTTCCCTTATTTAAGCCAGAGTGATAACCTAGATAAAGACATGTTCAACAGTGTTCTCTGGGCTCTCCTCTCATAGTTCCAGGTGTTAAGGGACAGTGGGGGCACTAATGGCTCAGGGACCCAGGTGTGAGCAAACTCTCCAGAGGCCTTTCAGAATGGACACTGTAGCAATTATAAAATCATCATTGGCATCAGCTGAGTGGTTTTTAGAACGTCTCCTCAGAGAACAGCCAAGGATGTGCCCTAACAAGCACTAGTGACATAAGAGATGAGAATGCTCCCCAAAGGTCAAAAAAAAGTTTCTAAGGTATTCAAATGAACAGATGGGAAGAGAGCCAAAGAACATCTCAGGACAAAGCTCCCACTCAAGACCCAACACTAAAACTGACAACAGAGCCAGGTCTCCAAATCACTCCTGGGCTCCTGGTGGGTCACTGGAAATGAAGCTTAGACTCACTCTCAAGGATAGGAGCACTCCGATCATTAATGGCGGTCACCTTCTTCAGCTTGGTCCCTTTGCAGATGTCCTGTAAGAGGGCGCCTCGACCCCGCTGCTCATCTCGACTCAGCTTGTGCTGCTCTGTGTTTGCCTGGAGGAAGAGGGAAATGTAAGTACACCCCCAACAGTCCCCTTCATCACAAGCTCAGGATAAATGCCTTAAGCCAAATTGCATTCCATGAGATGCCTGTCCAACCTAATGAAATATTTGTGCCAAACAGCAGTATCAGTGTGTATCGCCATTCTTCTTAGTCTTTTTTCTCCTGTTCTGTGAAGGGTACAGGTCTCCCTCCTATTCAGAAGCTTCTGATAGGAGGCCTGAACTAATATTTACCAAGTACCTATGCACTAGGCTTCTGTGTTAGATGTTTTATATGCATCAGCAGCAGCAAGGCAACCATTTATTGAGCCCCTGCTACGCCCCAAGCATTGTGCTAAATAAAGCACATTACTTTCATTATCTCATTTAAATCTTGAAATATTCCTATGACCAAGTACAACAGGTGCACAGGGACAGACAGCTAGATAAATGGAACAAAACAGAAAGTCCATAGGCAGGCCCAGATCTACTTAAAAAATAATAAAAGTATATTTCATCAGAAAGGGTAGGTTATTAAATATAAGGAAAAATAGCTAAAGAAAGGACTTTCTAAGCATGACAACTAAAATGCAGGAAAAGATGGACAGACTTGCTTATTACAAACTATTTACTTAGGAATGTAAGTAAATAAGCAGATGATATACTGGAAGGAAAAATCACCTGTGACAAATGTAACATAGGATAGACACAAAGGTAGTGTCCTAAATCTATAAAGCATTAAATATAAAAATGACTTAGAAATCAACAGGATAATAGGCAAAGGGTATGAACAACACTGTGTAAAAGAAATAAAAGAGCCAGCAAATATGAAAACAAAATTCAACTATAATAAAAAAATGCAGGGTAACACACAGTACTATTATTTACCTATGAAACTGGTAAAGGTTAAAATTATAACTAAACAGACTGCTAGCTTCGTGAAGGCAGGGACCACAATGAGGGGTGTTGTACAGTGCCTGGCATGTCGCAGATGGTCAAAAACTGTGTAGAATAAATAACCGCCCTATGATGTTCAGAGGGATTCAGGGAAACAGGTGCTCTTTTGCACTACCTGCAGTAAGATAAATTGATATGATCTTTCTAGAAAGTAATTTATGTATTAAATACCTTTTAAAAGTCTAGCACAAGAATTCTACTCCTAGGAATTAACTTTCAGAAAATAACAGGAGACGTGCAAAAAGATGTTGATAATATAGCAAAAAACAGCTTATAATATCATAACACTGAAAATAATCTAAAAGTTCAACCAAAAAGAACAATGATAACCACAAAGTGGGATGCCAGTCAAGCTCTTAAAGATGTAGAAGTAAGTATCTTTCCATGGCAGTAAATGTTTGCCACAATCAAGTAAAAAAATATTATAAAACAATACATAGAGCATGATTGCAGTTTTCTCTTCTATAGAATTGGAGTAACAAGAACTTATCTTACAGAGTAGTTTTGAGAATTAAATGATAACACTTTTCAAGAGCTTAGCACAGTGCCTTGTGTATAATAAAAGTTCAGTGACCTGCCGAGTGGCGCAATGGTTAAGAACTGGCTTGGGATGCCAGAGAGCCCCGGTTCGGATCCCACATATCAGGGCCAGTGACACAGCCCTCTACAGCTAAGATGCTGAACAACAGCTCAACCTGGAGCTGGGCTGCCATGATTCGCCGGCGACGGCGTAGCCTGCAGCCCCTGTGGCAGTGGGTTGACACGGGCTACTGTATGTAGCCAGCAGCCAGCATGAGCGGCCAGCAGCCACAGTGAGCGGCCATCCAGAAGCCGGCGACTGATCTGCCTCGACCGGGAAGAGGGCAATGATGGTGCCAACTTGGGCCAGTGAAGCAACGTCCTCCACAACTAGATTGAAGAACAAAACGACAGCAACTTGTCTGTTCCCAATTCCCCAGCACTGTTCCCATCCCCCCAATTCCCCAATAAAAATCTTAAAAAAAAAAAGAGTTCAATAAACAGTAGCTAGATTACATTTGAAAGAAAAAAAGGTGCACACGTATAGAAAATTTCTGGAAGGATATATGCTGATATTAGTAAAAGTTAACTTCGGGTAATAATTATGTTTATCTGTATTTTCTAGTTTTCCTACAATAAATATATAAAACATACAAAATGTTAACAAAGGGTAATTATAGATACTTTCACATTTTTTGTGTTTATTGGTATTCTCTAATTTTTCCCCACATTTTCAGTACAGTAAAAAGTTTTTTAATGATATCACTAACCATTTAATGACATAAGCCATTCAGATGTATTAATGGGCAAGAAGAACAGATGAGAGTTCAATATATAAAGCTCAACTTTAAAAAAAAAAAGTACAGTAAAACCTTGGATTGCGAGTAACGTGGTTTGCAAGTGTTCCACAAGACAAGCAAACATTTCTAATACATTTTAACATGGTAAACGAGCAATGTCTAGAATACAAGTAGTTTGTTTATGGAACAAATTAGGCTCACAAATCAAGGTATTACTGAAGGGAAGGAAAAGATATATACACAACTGTTACAAATGGTTGGATTATGGGTAATAGCTCCTTTTAGCTTATCCGCAGTTCATCAATTTCTTGAACATACTAGCTTTGCAAAGAGAAAATTATTATTAAAATATTACTAAACACATCCAAAATTGAGCTTATACCCTTTCTCCACAAATAGCACCATCATTCTGTGCTTGGGAATGCTTAAACACACTTGGGTACTATTTACAAGAGAACATTTTTCTTGTAAATAACACCATCATCAATTAATCCTCCAAACTAGAGTCATCCAAACTCCTTCCTCTTCGTAACTCTTCCATCTGTCATCAAACTCTTTAAGATTTTACTTTCTAAGTGTCTCTTATCTCCATTCTCCATCCTCACTGCTTTAGTCCAGGCCCTCAATTTTCAATTGCAACAGGTATCTGTCTCCAGTCTCAACTCCCAACCCACTGTCCACACTGTTAAAGAGTGACCCTTCTAATACAAACCCAATCAGGTTACTCCTGCTCCTGAAAATACCTCAAAACCTCCCCATCATTACTGGGAGAAAAATCCAAACCCTCAGCTTACATCGCCAGCTTCACCTCCCACAATACCCCCCTTTTCAAGCAATAATCTAAACCTCTGTGCTTTCTCACAAATCAGCACCCTTCCATATTCTGCTTCCTCAACTTCAAGTGTCCTCTCTCCCTTTTCTCTTTCTGACTAAACCTACTCATCCTTTAAGACTCAGCTCAAGTATCACCACCCCTGGGGACCCTCCTCTGACTGCCTCCTCTCCTTTCAACCACCAGGTGAGATGTCCTTCTTTGGGGCCTCGTTTACCTGTGCATTGCACGGAATTTGCTTGTTGACTTATCTGTCTCATCCATTATACTGGGAGCCCTTGAAAGGCAGAAATTGTCTCATTTCTGGGTGATGGTATTATAGGTGATTGTTGTTTGCTTCTTTTTACTTATCTGCATATTTCCCCTCTCTTTCTTTTAGTTACATAAATAAATTCTTGTTGTAAAAGAGCCAAACAATATATAAGCACAGAGTAAAATTATGGGGATTTTCTAAATTGTATGCCTAGCCAAGTCCCTGACACATAGTAAGCCCCAACAAAAGGCTACTAAGTGAATGATAAAGACAGCACGATGCAGGGCAGTAATCCAAGAGGTTATAGAGATCCAAGGATATACTTTGGGTCCTTGAATCCCACTATAACCAGAGCAGCTCTGCTTTCATTTACTTCATTTACTGGGCCTTCAATAAAATTTCATCCAAAAAAGGGGATTCATACATATCCTCAAATAAAATGTCTGAAAACCAGATGTTATGGAAAAAAAAGTTGGCAGGCCTGAATTTTAATCCTAGTTCAGAACCAAATAAACTAGGCAAGTCACTTTTCCTCTATATAGCACAATTTCTCATCTGTTAAACACACACGTGCAGTGTTTAACCTCTGGAATATTCATTCTCAATAGTTTTTTCGCTCAATTTTACAAAAATGTGATAAAGCACCCAGGTTGCTTCTTTCTCAGGTGACATCAGATATCACAATCCAGATATAATAAAAGAGGCTGCTTCTTCCTTGGAATCATTATCAAACCTTTAAGTTTTCTTACTAACACATTCCATAAACTCCTTTCTTTCTTGATGGGGTATTAGACTTGATGGACTTGGTTTTGAAATGAACTGATTTGGAGGTGGCCAGTTAGCTCAGCTGGTTAGAGTACAGTGCTCATAACACCAAGGTTGCCAGTTCGATCCCCACATGGGTCACTGAGATATGCCCTTCACAACTAGATTGAAATAGCTACTTGACTTGGAGCTGATGGGTCCTGGAAAAAAGCCCTCCACAACTAGACTGAAACAACTACGTGACTTGGAGCTGACAGGTCCTGGAAAAACATACTGTTCCCCAATTTAAAAAAAAAAAAAAAAGAACTGACTTGGAGAAGAGGAGGAGGAGATGAAATGGTAACAAGAAACAACCACCAGAAACTGCCATCCTTTTACTCAAGGATGTCAGAGAAATGAAGCAGACCTTTATAGAACAAATAGTTTCAGGGCAAACACCAGTTCCTGAATCAGGACAAGAAAACAAGATAAGCCATTATGGTCCTAAGAGGACTTCTCAGGATTCAGAACTAGCTGATAAGGGCAGATGTTACTGTCTATTCTCCTTCTTCCTGCACCACTTGTCTTTGCGTACTCTCAGTCTTATACCAGGAAGCCCTAAGTATCCATAAAGGTTTGAGATAGCTGAGTGGAAGGATTACCTACCTGATTAAAAGTGGGAGGTGGAGGAGGACCAGGTGGGGGTGGAGGGGGGGGAGGAATTGGCATCCTTGCCCTGCTCGCAGCTGGCACTGCTCTCTCTCCGTTTTAATTTGCAGCTTTAGGTCACTCATATACCTGCAAATGAAACAGAAATTCATGAGAACAACTCTGCCATTAGAGACACTGAGTACCAGGAAAACTAGGGGACTGGGCATGACACCAGAGAAACTAAGCGCCTCATTTCTTAATTCTACTGTGATATAGTCCAGGGCTTGGTCAACTTTTTCTGTAAAAGACCAGATAATACATATTTTAGGCTTTGTAGGTCACATATCTGTGACATATTCTTTTTTGTTTTATTTTGACATTTTTTTAAATTAATAAACTATTTTTTTAGAGTAGTTTTAGGTTCAGAGCAAAATTGAGCAGAAAGTACAGACAGTACTCATATAATCCTGTTCCCCCGCCCCACACACACACATATACAGCCTCTCCTACTATCAACATCCTGGATTTGTTACAAGCAAAGCTCCACTGATACCTCATTATCACCCAAAGTCCATAGTTTACATTAGAGTTCATTCTTGGTGCTATACATTATATGAGTTTGGACAGATGTATGACGACAACTACTCACCATTGTAGTGTCATACAGAATAGTTTCCCTGCCCTAAAAGCAATCTGTGCTCTGCCTATTCATCCCTCCTTCCTCCCCAACCCCTAGCAACCACTGATGTTTTTACTGACTCCATCGATTTGCCTTTTCCTAAATGTCCTATAATTGGAATGTCATATAGTTGGAATGATGTAATATGTAGCCTTTTCAGGTTGGCTTCCTTCATTTAATAATGTGCACTTAAGTTTCCTCTATGTATTCTCATGGCTTCATAACCGATTTCTTTTTAGCACTGAATAATATTCCATTATCTGGATGTACCATTGTTTATCTGTTCACCTACTGAAGGACATCTGTTGCTTCCAATCTTAGCAATTATGAATAAAGCTGCTATAAATATCCATGTGCAGGTTTTTGTTTGGAAACAAGTTTTCAGCTCATTTGAGTAAATATCAAGGAGCATGATTGCTGGATCATGTAGTAAGAGTATGTTTTGTAAGAAGCTCCCAAACTGTTTTCCAAAGTGGCTGTACTATTTTGCATTCCCACCAGCGATGCACACAAGTTCCTGCTGTTCCACATCCTCACCAGCATTTGGTGTTGTCAGTGTTTTTTATTTTGGCCATTCTAATAGGTGTGTAGTGGTAGCTCATTGTTTTAATTTGCATTTCCCTAATGACATATGAAGTTGAACATCTTTTCATATGCTTACTTGCCATCTGTATATCTTCTCTGGTGAGGTGTCTGTTCAGGTCTTTGGCCCAGTTTTTAATCAGGTTGTCTGTTTTCTTATTGTTGAGTTTTAAGAGCTCTTTGTTTATTTTGGATAATAGTCCTTTATTAGATGTGTCTTTTGCAAATATTTTCTCTTAGTCTGTGGCCTGTCAACTCATTCTCTTTGGTTTATTTATTTATTTTGGTGTTGTTTTTTTTGTTTTTTTTAAGCTGAGCCATCCTGCCACCTGTTGGCAGCTCAGCGGCTGCTCAGCTCGGGCCGGGACTCGAACTGCTGTTGCTCAGAGCTCAAACTCTTGAGTGAGCTCTTAACCAACTGAGCCACTCAGCCGGCCCTAACTCATTCTCTTAATTTTTACTTTTTTTTTTAAGATTTTTATTGGGGAATTGGAACAGCGTTGGGGAATTGGGGGAAGGGGAACAGACAAGTTGCTGTTGTTTTTGTTCTTTAGTCTAGTTGTGGAGGACGTTGCTTCACTGGCCCAAGTTGGCACCATCATTGCGCTCTTCCCAGGCGAGGCAGATCAGTTGCCAGCTTCTGGAGAGCCGCTCACGGCGGCTGCTGGCCACTCACACTGGCTGCTGGCTACACACAGTAGCCCATAGCAACCCACTGCAGCAGGGGCTGCAGCCTACGGGGTCGCCGGCGACTCACGGCAGCCCAGCTCCAGGTTGAGCTGTTGTTCAGCATCTTAGCTGTAGAGGGCAGTGTCACTGGCCCTGATATGTGGGATCCGAACTGGGGCCCTCTGGCGCACCAAGCCAGCTCTTAACTACCGCGCCACTCAGCCGGCTCTTAATTTTTACATTTTAAAGATGTAAAAATCATTCTTAGTTCATGGGCCATACAAAAACAGAACGTGGATCACTTCTGACTCATGGGTCATAGATTACTGGCCCCTGGGATAGTCACATCCTTGGAATCTGATCGGAGCATAACTATCATGTGAGAATTTAACTACTTATCAGGTCACAAAAAAACTAGACAGCTATCCCTCTATTACAGTGTGTTAAGTGATCCTCATTTTACAAATGAAACTCAAGTCAGGGAACTGTCTTACCCTAAGACATTAAAGTAGGGGGCAAAGATAAAACCAAAACTCAAGAACAATAATTACCCCCAAAAAGCTGTCCCAAGGAAATTCCACCCTTTTTTTTTTTTTTTAAGATTTTATTGGGAAATTGGGGAAGGGGAACAGCACTGGGGAATCAGGGAACGGGGAACAGACAAGTTGCTGTCCTTTTGTTCTTCAGTCTAGTTGTGGAGGACGTCTCTTCACTGGCCCATGTTGGTATTATCATTGTGCTCTTCCCGGGTGAGGTAGATTGGTCGCCGGCCTCTGGACGGCTGTTCACGGCAGCTCTTGGCAGCTCATAGGCTGTCAGCCACTCACGATGGCTGCTGGCCACACACGGTAGCTTATGGCAGCCCACTGCAGCAGGGGCTGCAGCCTAAGCCATCACCGGCAACTCACGGCAGCCCAGCTCCAGATCAAGCTGTTGTTCACCATCATAGCTGTAGAGGGCAGTGTCACTGGCCGTCATGTGGGATCCGAACTGGGGCCCTGCTGCTCAGAGCTGGCGTCCCAAACCAGTTCTTAACCAACGTGCCACTCGGCCGGCCCGAAATTCCACTTCTTGATCCCCAAAAAATTAAAGCCAAAATAACATGACCACTGTGAGTACAACTTACAGATGACAAGAAAGGTTCTTTTTTTTTTTGAAAGGTTCCAAAAAGGGTTATCAACTTCATCCATTAATCCACAGAAGAAATGCTTCCAAGCAAAGTGACTACTGAGATTAGGACACAGGAAAATTCACACGCAGCCCCTAGCACAGATGGGTGA